CTGTTTGTACAATAATGAATCTTTGTTAGCATTGAACAACTTGTGCCGTGTCTATATCAGTGGTGTTAGTTTTTTTTTTTTTTAAACAATCATCGTTTATCTACATTCACACGAATTTGTGAAAACTTTACAAGGTACAAAACGTGAAATCAAGATTACTATCACAAGATTATATCTTCGTGCTAGAGATCGAGTATTTTTATGAAAATCAGCAACAGAAACTCGTCTATTATTATTCAAAGATATCAATCAAAAAAATGTAAAAGAAAATACGTCAGGAAACAACATATGGAAAATATGTCAGGTTAAAGTTTTTAAACGTGATTACAAATAACTAAATAATTACAGTGCTAACTAAACTAACTAAATAATTAAAGTGCGCTGGAGAAATATTCCTTTATCCGTTTCAGTGTATGAATTGCGGTATTATCGCATTGGAAGATATTCAAATATTTTTTTAATCGATCATTAACAGACGAGATTATTTTTTACCGTGTTTACAAAATTTATATCTTTCGGCGACTTAGAAACAGACGAATCGTTCGTTCCGCGAGTTACGGGGATAATAGTTTCAGCCATCTAAATTAAATCTTTTTTTCATTTTCAAAAAAATAAATATATTCCGCGAGAAAACTGCATCTTATGTTTCTATGTTAAGTAGAGGTGGGATCGTATTTTACCTTGTCTGACATTTCGAATATTAGTTGTATAACGCCAGCTTCTGCAGCAATTTGCCGAGCTGCAATCTTTGAAATTGCAAGCAATCCGGAAAATGGTCCGTCTTTCACGACCAGTTATTGCACGTGGCCGTCCGCGGTCTTCTGCTGTTCTTTTTCCCGTACTAATTGGGACCTTATTCATCTACTTTACGATTTTCATTCGCTAATTCATGCAACAGAATATTTTTCGTTTCTTGGTAAAATAAAATACAGTTTATTTCAACCTGTATTTTATGACACTGAACAACAAATATATATCACAAATGTATCATCATTGTATTTAGTCAGAAATTTTGTCGGAATTTTCCTCGTCGATAATCATTACGAGCAACCGAAATATCTTATCGAAAGTTATTTGCAATAGAAAGAAATAATTGCGTTGTTTTTCTTTCATTTTAGTTATAATAGTTATGACCTCTGCCTCGTGTAAATGCCTCGAGTCGAGAAGACTAATACCGTAACAATGTTAATAATTATGGCCGTACACAGAAAGATAATAACGTTTGATAATAACGTTTAATAATAACGTTTAATTATATTTCTCTTAATTATCTTTGTTGCGGCTTTACGTTTGATTCTACAATTTACATAAATATAACGAAGTGACCATACCCTTGTACACCTATTGTACAAAGTCTCAATGTGACTGGTAACGTGACTAATACCAATGCAGGGCGTACGGTGGCACGCCGGAGACTCAGCCTACTAAAAGAAATCAATGCGCGCGCAGATCAGCTCATCGTTTGATGGAATAGAAGATGACCACGTTTTGTTTGCGTAGGACTATAAGCATGGAAAATACGCACGGACAGACTATGTGTAGGTTGATGAACAGCAGCACTCTCTCAACATGTGTTTATCTCTCGTAGTATTTTCCACTTTCGCAACAAATTCACTTTCATTTAACTGAATTTCTTTAACTTTCATTCGAAGAGGGAAGAAATTTTTTTGACAGAATTTCGAGTTTCTTGCGCCACGAATTTGATTAACCTATCTTTCCGCGTGAGAACGAAAGTTAACGGTTGTTACAAAGGACAGATCGAAAATAGAAACGGAAGTGAAATTAATTTAAAAGTGGGATCGACGTGACGATTGACGTCCAACTGATAACTATGGTGAATAAATAACGATCGCAAAAGCCAAGACTCAACTGTCAACTAATATTAATTAAGTAGCTAGGTTTTATCTCAAATACGTAACAAGCTTCGAATTCAAATTCCAAGGCGCATCAAGGTTCGCGCATGGCATGATGTTTACGTGTACCATGTACTTGCTATTATACATGTCAGCTTTCTCTGTACTTCTTTTAATTTTAATACGTTCCAAATCCAGCAGAATTATATACGTATGATCAATACCAATCGCACACGAATTTCACAGAAAATGACACAAGGTTCATTTAACCGACACAGGTTTGAATTATTTTGAATTATGGTATTTTTTAAACAAACCGCGCGCAATATAGAAAAAAAAAATCAGATCAATTAAAAGAAAATTAAGATTAATCGACAATCGAAATAAAAGTTAATAAAAAATGTAATAACAACAGAGTAGCAAGTAAAAATTAATATCGTTATGTGAAATACGAGTTAAACTATGTGGTCGAAAGATACAAACTTTGAAAAATTGCGTCTCGATGCAAAAAGAATCTAGAGCAATTTGTTAGCAACGGAAATAATTAAGACACCAAGAGGAAAGTGCACGTGTAACATAAGTGACATTTGACGCTTGTAACGTTAAAATTTTATAACATAAACTAACAAGTAACCACGTCATACATGTAAGTACGTTACGATCAAAGTTATTCACGGGATATTTATCAAAGGATATAAATCGAAACGATGGAAAAATTCCGTGATACGCGCAAATGCCATATAAATATTTAATACCGTATAAATATTCAATATCACATAATATTCAAGAGATTAACCGCGTTTTAAACAATACGGATATCTTGAAATTCGAAATTTCATTAATCCGAATAAATAATTTAACGCGCGAGTTGCTCGAGTACAAAAATAAACGTTTAAAAATAAAGAAAGGAACTGAGATAAAAATTTTTTCATTCGCGATATCTTTATCATTAAACTTCTAATGTTATTCTAATATCGATATTTGTTCAATGTCTATAAGAATGTAGCAACTAAAGTATTGCCATTTTTAATTGCAAAATATAAGAAACCAAAATTACAAAATTTGGTAAAAGAGATTGAAGTAGAAATAGAGCTTAAGCACAAGGAACAGAAATTTTTTTTACAGAAGTAATTTATAGATTTTAAATCCTATACTTGTTTCGATAATGCAAATATCGGCCGTTTACGCGGAAAATGTTTTCCTCGAAACTGGCGTTGATAGCACGGAAATTTCGAAATTCCGCGAACTTTAACAAGATTCTGTGTCGATAAAAAAATGTTAGAAAAAAAAATTACATTTAGAAGATAGTTAAAAGTCAACTTCGTAATTTTCTTAAAAATTTTCTCAAATAAGATACGATTGCATTTGCACGGTCAACATCGAACGCCAATATTGGTCAAGATTCTTTGCAAATTCTTCGAAAATTATCATAAATCGTTAAATTAGGATTTTAAGGAATTTCCTTTAAATCGCAAAATTCATCGTAAAAAATTACAAGGAGGGTAAATGAAACCATGCAAAAATTTTAATTAATAACAAGCAAGTACAGTGCCGACTTGAAATACAATAAAATTCATTTGGTATAAAAAAGAAAGAAAGAACACAGGCC